AGCGCTGTCGCGGTACTTTAATGCCACATGTGACAGTCACATGGCGTCTGTGCAGCATCAATCCGGACAAGATTTCTAACCAGCATGCACCGCTTTAAGACAGATTTCAATCGATCTGCGCAGCGCTGCAAGAAGTCGAACGTACCTTGTGTGTAAGTAGAGTGCCTTCTACACTCAATCTTTCAGCAAAGATTAGATTATCAGAAACAAGTTTACCTGTACACTGAAACAACATATAATGTGATAAGTATATGCTGTTGTTTGGACAGATCTGTGAGCTTAGTCTTTTAAAAGATATCAGTGTGTCTGGCACCATGTGTGCTCATGGAACTGCCTGAAAAAGGCTTGTTTCAAGCAGAGCACTGAAGAGGCACTTTTCTCAAAAGGCTGAATAGGTTTTAAACAATGAAGTGTATTTTTTTAATTAAAGGATGGCACATTTTTAAATGACAAAAATAGTTTGAATAATCATTTAATATATCTCAAACATTGGCTCTGTGTTTAATTTTTTAGTTTAAAAGCCATAAATGAATATACTGAAACAGAGCCTCATGACACAGACTATTTAAATTTATTTTTATTAAGAATATAAAAAAACAGCACAGTGGAGGACTGTTAATTTTGCCTGTTTAAAACATGGTTTGTGTTCAAGCTTGATCACATGAGGATTTAAAATGTCGCATGATCACATTTTTTTAAATTATCCAGATGCTTTCCCCTGTCATTTTTGATATTAATGTGGCATTTTCAGTTGTCAACAAGTGTTTTTTTCACATGACACACATTCAAAGCATTTGTTTTCCTCTGTCGGCACGGTTGACATGGAATTGGCGCAGGTCTGACCTCTTATGAGCCGGTTATACAGCACATTTTCAGCTATGTTATAGCTTTTTTATTGTTATAGCTGATTATTTGAGATCATCAAGCATACTTTTAACAGTCCATGCTATTTTAAGCTTTTAATACATTTTTGCGCTGGGTACACACCGTCTTGTTCAGCACATTTTAGGTTGGTTAAATACAGTATGTTGTAGTTCCAGTGGAGCAGACAGGACGTGAGGACAATCACAATTTATTTTGGTGAGTGATTTTAAATAAACTTTAAAATTTGTTTCATTTTATTAAATCCATTGTTTGAATAGAATGAGCTGAATGAATGTTTAATGCAATTACAAGTAGATGCATTCTAACACTGAAATAGTTTCAGATGACAGGAAGGCGTGCATTGGAAATGTAAGTATTGTATTTTTAACTGTAAAAAAAGATTATAGACTGACTAATGGATAATATATGCTGGAATTATGTTGTTTTCTTGTTTGCAACAGGAATTGTTTTTGCTTTTTAAAATAATTTATTGCCTTAAGAGCACTTTAATACTTGCTTTTATATTTTATAGTCCTGCTCAACTGACAAGTGCAGATGCGCCAGTTAGCTTTAGCTGTCTGTCATGTGTCTTTGCTGAGTATTGTTCTGAGACTTATTACTTAAAACACACTATCTATTTAAAAGTAATTCATAAAGTCATGTGCTCCTAAAGAGATTATAACTTTTTAAAGCACATAAGAGTAAAATACACAAGGAGCATAGCTGTTTTGTTTTTCCCTTGTTTTATATTTCTGGTTTATTTCAACTTCAAATAATGGTGGGTAAAATCTCACAGAAAGAGCTTCCATAATGATCTTAAAGAGCCCATATTATGGGTTTTTGAAAATTCCCCTCCATGTAGTCTGTAACACAGCTCTAAGTGAAGTGAAGTATCCAGCTAAGGCTTAAATCTGTTAGTGTACAGTGTTTAAAACGGTTGATTCATCTATAAAATAGTCGACTCATAGTGCTTCAAACGTGTCGCCTTGATACCGATTCATTAGGTGTTTCGCCATGATGTACGAACGAAACCAAGTTATTCACGTGCACGCGCAAACCTGGGAGATTTCAAACCTAAGGCCCCGCCCTCTGACGCAGAAACCCAGACACACACACACCCACAAACACACGCACACAAACATGCTGGTCAATTGAAGTCACACTGCAGATGGATACATTGAGTCTCTACCCAAAGATGAAACCTCAGCATTATAGCCAAGCAGTTGGAAACTACTGGAAACTTCTAGAAACTACATGCTACAAAGAATACTTCATCAGCGTTTGTTAAAGGAAGGATCAGTAAAGAGTAACTTACTGATGGACGTCAGGATGGATTTTTCTTCCTCCATTTCTCAAGTGTAAGTATGTGCGATTAAAGTTGCCTCGTTGACTCTAGCTTGCAAATGTATTTAGTTGTGATGTCTTACTTGTAACCGCGTGTACTGTATCAGGTTAACTGGCTATATTCTCTTATCGCGTGCAAAGTCACGTTAAAAACGCGACGCTTGCTGCTTTGTTAACGGAGCTCCGTGGACGAGTAGTGTGTGTGTCTGTGTGTGCGCGCTGTCATCCGAAGGTGTGTGTGTTTTTGTGTGTGTGCGCGCACGTTGTCGTCCGGAGCAGGGTTAAGTGCGTGTGTGTGAGTGTGCAATATGTGTGTGTGTGTGTCTGTGAAAAGAGCAGAGTGAGAAGCTAGGAGATCTCCTCAACTGTTTTTGGAGTTTTTGCTCAATAAAATAGTTAGTCGTCTGTATTTTCAAGTTCATAGTCTGTATTTACATTGACCCACTGGCAGCTAAAATCCACGCCTACACTATCGAGCGTGTATGAACTGTGATTACTTTTATATTGCTGATTAGCTGTTTGGCATTTCACTCTCTGACTGAAGGCAGTCGACCAATCGCAACAGACTGTCAACGGTCCAATCAGCGCAGATTAGCTTCGCGCTAAGGATGGGTTTGGGAACAAATGAATCACTGGACGATTCATACAGGAGTCACTGGGATAATTAGGTAAAAATAAATGCAGATTATAAGACCATGAAAGTGTTTTTTGACCTTGCATGCATATTAAACTGTTGTTGGAGACCCTTACAACCAAGATATGACCCTATTTCATGTATAATATGGGCTCTTTAAAATTACTCTCCAGATTTGATGAGCGTCTTTAGGAAAAGGAACCATGTTGCTGGTCAGCTTTTAGCTTAGCTCTTACGTCAGACAAAGGTGTTTTTTTTGTCTACATGAGTCTACCCGTTGCCCATTTTCATCTCTTTTATTCCGGCATATTTATAGTTGTTTAAATAGTATCATCATATTTGCTTTTTTTTTTCTTTCTTCAAAAGGATGTCTTTCATGAGGATCCATACTACTGAGATTCCATAGGAATCATCTGCATTAAAGAAAAAAGTCCACATCTTAACCCATCCAGAGTGTTCATCATCTTTCATCATTTATACACACCTGCCTCATGTATCCCCTGCTCTTAAAATAGACAAAGGGTCATCTTGCTGTCACTGTAAAGATCAGCTTAAAGTTACAGATCTTTATATTAATTTTAAATATTATTTATTGTGCATGGTATTGTGAAAAAAGGCCCAACATTACAGGTTGTTCAGTACATATACGTTTATTTACAATATTAAACATTCATTCTGTGAAGTTACATGAACACATTTTCACTTGAATGTAAACACAGTATACATTGACCTCTACAATATAGCCCTATGTGTTTAAAAGGATAGTTCACACAAAAATGGAAATTGTCATCTATTTTGAAAAAAACTATACATTACTTAAAAATGTGAAGGGAACTATTTTTCTCTTTTAAATTAAACTCAACTAATGCAGTTTTAGGCCGTACTCACACTAGGTACAGTTGCCTCGAACCGGGCCAAAGCACGCTTGTCCCCCCTCCCGTCTCCCCCGACGGCCCGCGCTCACACCATATCGGGCCTCGGCACGCTTACGTCATCGCTGCTGCGCTGTTCAGAAGCGCTCTCTATGGCAAGCCTTTTTAGCATTTAAGTCTTTGTTCTGACTCCATAAATATATTCAGAGATATCTCTAATTATATTTTGACTAGTCATAATTATAATTCGACTAGTCAGAATAACAATTAGAGATATCTGCAATTGCAATTGTACTAGTACGAAATCAGATTGGAGATATCTGCAAATATATTATGACTAGTCATATTCCTCCATTGACTTCCATTGAAAAATATTTGCAGATATCTCTAAATGAGTTCTGACTAGTCACAATTGTAATTAGAGATATCTCTAACTGAGTTTTTACTAGTCATACATTTGGAGATGTCTTTAATTCGTAATATTTAGAGATATTTACAAATATATTTGAAGATATCTCTAATTAATTTACTAACAGTCGAATTACAGTTGTAGATATCTTGAATTGGATTTTTGACAAGTCAAAACTCAGTTAGAGATATCTGCAAATATTTTTCAATGGAAGTCAATGGAGGAATATGACTAGTCATAATATATTTGCAGATATCTCCAATCTGATTTCGTACTAGTACAATTGTAATTGCAGATATCTCTAATTGTCATTCTGACAAGTCGAATTATAATAATGACTTGTCAAAATATATAATTATATCTCTATATATATTTATCGATAGTCAGAACAAGGTTTAAATGTTAAAACGGCTTGCCATACGCTCTCACCCAGTAGCACAGTGGAGATTTCTCTAGTTATATCCTTTAAGTCGTTTGATGCAGTGACATGCAGTCAGATATTTTACCGAACAGATCCGTCACTTTTGGCGCTCATAAACAATCATTAAGCTCTCGTGCTGCAGGAATGAGGAGGTCTGCTGAAGGCGCGCAGCTGGCGTGCTGTGAGGAGTTTGCGTCTTTAATAAACTACGGCAGTTTGCGATCACTGAACAGTAAGAATGATTAATAAATCCATATCAAACAGTCCCTTAAAAGTCACATCTCGCTTTCGGGCTTTGGCGCGTTTCGCGCTCACACACAAGCGTACCGCGCCAAAGCCCAAGTGATCCGCGCTCAGGCACACCTCTTCCAACCGGGCCAGGGCCGGCCAAGTGAACCGTGCTTAAGCCCGATTCAGCGCACTCACACTTCTCAAACGATCCGGGAAACGGGCCTGGGCACGGTACGGATGGCATAGTGTGAGTAGGCCCTTAGAGTCTGGCTGCAGATGAGCTGAGGCCTCAGTGTCACATGACCTGTATCCAGCAGAGGCCCTTTTGTTCTTTTGTTTGAAGGTGAGAAGATGCTGGTGTGTGTCAGTGGAGGGCCTTCTACACTCTATCTTTCAGCAAAGATTAGATGATCAGAAACAAGTTTACCTGTACACTGAAACAACATATAATGTGATAAATATATGCTGTTGTTTGGACAGATCTGTGAGCTTAGGCTTTTAAAAGATATCAGTGTGTCTGGCACCATGTGTGCTCATGGAACTGCCTGAAAAAAGGCTTGTTCCCAGCAGAGCACTGAAGAGGCACTTATCCAAAAAGGCTGCATAGGTTTTATACAATGAAGTGTATTTTTTTAATTAAAGGATGGCACATTTTTAAATGACACAAAATAGTTTGAATAATTATTTAATATATCTCAAACATTGGCTCTGTGTTTAATTATTTGTTTAGTTTAACAGCCATAAATTAATATACTGAAACAAAGCTTGATGACACAGACGATTTAAATTTATTTTTATTAAGAATATAAAATAACAGCACAGTGGAGGACTGTTAATTTTGCTATTAAGCTATTGTCTGCCCACACCCATCCCCTTTTACCTATTTAACTTGTGTGTCAGTGCGCCATCCAGTGGAAATCCATATGTTTGCAGTCTGACTAATTTTAAAAAGGTAAATGTTTTTTATTTAATGTAATAAGTAGGTGAATGAGTAAGATACAATCAAATATATCATATCATTTAAAAGTACAAATTTCCAGCTTTCCTACAAGTCCACATATGTTACTGTACCTTACTGTATACACATTTGGTGAATAAATTTTTTTTGTGCACGTGCTGAGAGTGCATGTTTGATGGTATTAAATTATAACAAAATATTTAAGCTATTTTTAAATAACTAACATCATTTAAAATGAAACACTTACTGTAAGCTTTCAGAAGTAGAAATAATGGTAAAAAGTTGTGGGTTGTCTGCATCTCACTGAGTGATTTGGCATCATATAATCTGAAAATGAAAAAATAAACATTATTTGTTGGGCATATGAAATAAAATTGGGCAAATTCATGTTTTTTTTGTGCATGTGCAAAAAGTAAACACATCTCATGGTATTTATTTTTAATTAAATATTTAAGCTATTTTTAAGTAATCAATATAATTTAAAAAGAAACACTTACTGTTAGCTTTTCAAAGAGCTCATAAAAAAGTCAGCGAAGCACTATTGTTGAAGTCACTTTCCCAAATCCAACATCCATTTGCCATTGTCAGAAGTAGAAATAATGGATAAAAGGATAGTCTTATTAAAGTTTTAAGGCAAATAAAAATAAAATAATAATGTTTATTTACACATTTGCCTAAATACTACCAACCCCCTTTACCTGTTTAACTTGTGTGTCAGTGCGCTATCCAGTGGAAATCCATATGTTTGCAGTCTGACTAATTTTAAAAAGTTAAATGTTTTTTATTTAATGTAATAAGTAGGTGAACTAGTAAGATACAATCAAATATATCATTTAAAAGTACAAATTTCCAGCTTTCCAACAAGTCCACATATGTTACTGTACCTTACTGTATACACATTTGGTGAATTAGTTTTTTTTTTTTTGTGCATGTGCAAAAAGTAAACACATCTCATGCTATTTATTTTTAATTAAATATTTAAGCTATTTTTAAGTAACTAACATAAAAATGTCAGCGCACCAGTATTGTTGAAATAACCTGAATTCAACTAATCCCAAATCCAACATCCGTTTGCCATCGTCAGAAGTAGAAATAATAGATAAAATGATAGTCTTATTAAAGTTTTAAAGCAAATAAAAACAAAATAATAACGTTTATTTTACATATTTGGCTAAATACTTATAGGAAAAAAAAAAAGATAAATTGCATTGACTTATTGGAAAGAAGAACATGTGTGCTTTCAGCTGACATGAGCTGATATTGATTGTAGTTTGAGAATACCCTTAATAATGAGGAATCCAGGCATGCACATTTGTAAAATTTACAAATTGTGTGTTTTTCTCACCCCTTTCTGCTCCTTTAAAGGCCTTTTCAACCCATGGGTTAACCCAGACGATGCGAAGCAGTGAAATGCGCAACTCGCAGTGCCAATACTGGACAGTCGCGCATCTGAGGAATTCAAATGTACAGATTTTCAAAAATGTTCAAATTTTGTGTTTTTCTCACCCCTTTCTGCTCCTTTGAAGGCCTTTTCAACCCATGGGTTAACTTACGGGCACAGAAGATGCGAAGCAGTGAGATGTGCAACTTGCAGTGCCAAAACTGGACAGTCGTGCATCTGAGGAATTCAAATGTACAGATTTTCAAAAAATTTTCAAATGTTGTGTTTTTCTCACCCCTTTCTGCTCCTTTGAAGGCGTTTTCAACCCATGGGTTAACCCACGGGCACCAGGGGGTGCAAAACAGGGGCGGACTGGCCATCTGGCAATTTTTTTAATTTTAAATGTATTGTTTTTACATGCAGGCAGCTTTTATCAATTGCAAGATGTGAATATTAGGATGATGATAATAGTAATAATAATAATAAATGTTAAGCATTGGCCCAATCGACAATGGCCGGCTGGTTTCAAGATGGGCCGACCCAATTAGAGGTTACACGGACGTAATCAAAATCTCGCAGGAATGTCAAACAAACAACAAGCTAATTGTCAGAGATGGACTGTAAAAAAGGAAAGGCATGCCAAAAAGCTCATAGAAAGCATAAAATTGCTCTAAAATCAGACACTGCCAAATGCATAAAATTAACTGAAATAGTCTCGAAAGGGGGCAGTGCAGTGGGTAGCACTGATGCCTCACAGCAAGAAGGTTTATGGTTCAACCCTCGGCTGGGTCAGTTGGTGTTTCAGTGTGGAGTTTGCATGTTCGTGTGGGTTTCCTCCTGGTTTCCCCCACAAGTCCAAACACATGTGCTATAGGTGAATTGGGTTGGCCTAATTGTCCGTAGTGCATGTATGAGAATGTGTGTGTATAAGGGTTTCCCAGTGATGGGTTGCAGCTTGGAGGGCATCCACTACGTAAAATATATGCTGGGTTAGTTGGCGGTTCATTCCGCTGTGGCCATCCCAAATTAATAAAGGGACTAAGCCGAAAAGAAAATGAATGAATGAAATGACTGTATGTATATTTGTTATAAACGGGTTGTTTTTGTTCCAGTCACATACATTAAAAGTTTAAATATCTATTACATATGGTACTGCTTATATTATTTCACCATCTGTACACCAATATAAGTACTAAATGTGCGTGTCCGTGGGTGGGGCCGTGTCAGTGTGGTAATGAGGGCTGGTGTGGCTACAGTGCCAGTGCTGATTTTTAGTCCCAGTCCGCCCATGGTGCAAAGCAGTGAGAAGAGCAACTCGCGGTATCAGAAACATACATTTTTCGTGCAAAGTCACGCATCTGAGGGACCCAAGCTTGCGCGTATGAAAAATAATAAAAAATTTCGCACTCTTTACCAGATTGCACCCTAGTCAGGTTAACCCATGGGCTAAGGGGGCCATAAGGAAACAGTGAAGGAATTGCGACGGGGCTGGACGCAGCTCGGGGCGTGAGCCTATGGTCATAAGGATGTCATAACCATGTCATTTATGAAAATTTGCATATTCCTCACTTTCATGTGCGGGCCAGGTGACCCATGGGCCACCCAATAAGAAGAAAATGTGAAAAGCATGCAGAGGATGAAGGAAGTTGTAGGAAACAAAGCCTCATGACCAAAAACAAACATTTGGAAATTTTGGGCCTTCTGCGCTAAGCCCCTCCCTTTAGTCACCAGCCACCCCCATGCAAAAGGGTCAAAAATGTGAAAAAGCGTAAATTTGCAACTAAGGTGACGTGGGCACGCATCTGAGATGTCAAAGTGACGAAACGGAATGTCTCAACGCGCGTGCGAGGCCGGGGCATATCCGCCGGGCAGCGAGAGAAGTTTCCGGGCGACCCATGTGTTAAAAAAATTTTAAAGTGACAAAAGTGTCAAAAATGTCATGCAGTGTCGAGCATTACCACTAGCAGAGTGGGGTATGAGCAAAAAAGGGGCAAAAAACACACCACGGGCATACCCAGGGGGCGATTTACCCATCGGCGACAGGCCAGTCGCTGATGGGCGACTCGAGTCGCCGATGGGTTATAGACCGGTTATAGACCGGCCGTGCGAGCTTTTTTGTACGACCTGCTACAACCATATCGATATGCACCAAGCATCGAACGGGGGTCTAGACAGCCCATAACCCCGGCACCACTGACCCTGGCACATTTCACCTCGCCGGAGACCACTAGCTCCCCCCTAACCAACCACCCTCACTCCCCCCGGGAGCAGGGTAGGGGGGGTCAGCTGGGAGCCAGCGAGGATGAACCCGGGGGGTGGGCGGCGTTGCGGACGGACGGGATCGGCAGCACTGGGGCAAACGCTCACACTCGGGGAGGAGAATTGAAGCCTACACCAGCTCGTTCCCTACGCTGTCCCTCGGGGCTCGATTCACCACACCGGGGGACTCTACTGAACCCACCGAGCATCCCCAGCCCTCACAGGGCGAGGGGCGTGGGGTGGGGGCACGGGCCGAGTATCAGCGGGGGGGAAACGGAGTCCAGGGGGGCGGGCTGGCGGGCGGGCTGAGCAGCAGACAAGCTCTAGATCAAAGCCAGATGGGCAATCTGCGTCCTCACCCACGGATCGAGGCGAGAAAGGGGGCGTTGTGTCCGGAGGGACACCCCCCACATCTCCCTGAAAGAATGCCCTGGACAGGGAGGAAACTACCACACCCATAGAGGCTGACCCATTGGTGCTATGGGGGCCGGGATGGGGGCCTAACCCCTGGGGCGTCACACTAGCTCCTATCGGTCAGTATCGGACGAGTCCAACAGCAAGACTGTCAGAAACTAAGTGCAGGATTTATCGCGTTTACCAAAAATACGACGGCAGGTCAGAGAATTTTGGCGTCGGGCTAATACCTCTAGGCACGGGTCGTCCCGACAGGTAGGCTGGGAAGGGTCTCCCGTCGGTCATGGCTTGGTGGGCTTGGGCCTGGGTCTGAACAACGCCCCAGTGAGCGCCCGGCCACACATATTCCTGTTGGACCTTTCTCGCTCCAGATGCGTAAACGGTGCCGCTGGTGAACCACTGCTGGAGCCACTGACCTTCCAAGGCCTTATGTCACACACTCTCTGCCCGAGGACCCCCACTCTCTCCGGCCAGCCAAGCTCCACGCTGGCCTGGGCTGGGCTGGAGCCACTGACCTGCAGGGCCTTGTGTCACAAATTGTTGGTGACACAAATTGTATAAAAGTTAACAACAACAATCTATCTATACAGTACATAGATTTTGGGCAGCATGGTGGCACAGTGGGTAGCACAATCAACTCCCAGCAAGAAGGTCGCTGGTTCGAGCCACTCTAAGTGCTCTGGTTTCCCCCATAAGTCCAAAACGTGGTATAGGTGAATTGGCTAAGCTTAATTGACCATATGTGTGTATGAATGAGTGATGAATGTTTTCCAGTAATAGGGTTACAGCTGGAAGGGGATCTGCTACGTAAAATATGCTGGATAAGTTGGCGGTTCATTTCGCTGTGGCAACCCAGATTAATAAAACGAGCCGAAAAGACAGTGAATGAATGAATAAATTACATATATTTCTATAACAAAAATATCCATACAGAGGATTAAGGTTAAAAATCACATTTATTATTAACCAATACAGGAAACTGTTGAATCTTTTTACATTGTACAATCAATAATTATGTAGCCATTAAGGCTCAAAAAGTAACATTACATGCTTTGGCTGTTAACTCTCCTCATAATAGTTTGAATAAATTCAGAGTATTGTACACACACACACTAAGAAAATAGTTCATAGTCTTTTTATGTCTGACTCCCTTGACACATTGCTTCACTTTTCAATATTGAAAAGCAGTAAATGTACAACTAGAAAAGAAAAAGACTAATTCAGATTTTTTTTAATGTTTTTTTCTCTGCAAATATCAAATGCAATGCAATCTATAAACTCAAAGTAACTGAAATCAAGAACTGTATTTTTTTGGTAAATGAAAACAGTCTGATGATGATTCTTGTGTATTGCAAAAATAAAAAAATAAAAAATAATACAAATCATAAATCGAAACATAAGTGTCTGCAGGCTGTGATTTAACACAGCCAACATGATGTTGATGCAAAAAAGGGAAGATCTGTTATTAATTACAAAAGTACTGTCTGCTGCCTTCAAGTTGTATGGAGAAGCACAGAACCAGGATTGACACGAGTTTTCTAAATCACAGCATCTAAACCTCTTGAAGATGTACATGGTTAGGGGTGTGGTGTTGGCCAGTGGGTGGAACTATATAAATTATTTCACTATCAACATTTGCTGAAATAATTTGACTTTCTGAATTTATGCCTCTCAATTGTAACTAGCGTGACTGATTTGGCAACAGAAAAAAAATGTTAAATATAATGCTGTAAAAAAGGTCATTTGAGGTCAAGCCTGAAATCATATTCTGAAGTTTAAAATAAAGGCAACAATGCTAAAGAAATGAATGGATGGGAACAATGAAACTATATTCAAACCAGAAATCAATAAGCAAAAACACTCTAATGTATGAAATCTATCTAAATATTTTTTCAAGTTATTTGTTAGCTATCTAAATGTCTGAAAGAACATTCAAACAAACATCAGTGTAGTTTTCTAAAATAGAAGACTAATGCAGAAAAAACTGTGCAATGTTCAAAGTAGTGGGATTACAGCTAACAGTTACTGCTGAACAAGCACTGATTCGTCTTCCTTATTATGCATTTGCCAGATATTACCCAAAATTTGTTGGTGAGACACAGTTAGTGCTAAAATTATGCAATGTGAACTCATTCAATAAAACTGGATTTATTTTGTATGTTGGGGGTAAAAGTAAAAAACGATGCATCACTGTTCTTTCTAACAATTCTGTATTTGATCTGAATTGATTCTCAAAAGTTTAGAATAAGTTCTGTATTCAAATTATGCTGACTTTTTTTTCTTCTTCCAGAAAATAAGTCACTTCATTGGACAGATTACATATAGATGAGGCAAAGCACGGCACAGTGCTTCTTGTCCAGTCTGACCAACTAGAATCACTAAAGACGGGGCGCAGGGTGGAATTATTGTAATGCATGGACATTGCCTACAACAGAATCATGTCACATTACAGAAGAAAGAATGAGGATTCATTCATTCACTTTCTTTTTGGCTTAATCCCTTTATTAACTGGGGTAGCCACCGTGGAATGTACCACTAACTTATCCAGCATGTTTAACGCAGCGGATGCCCTTCCAGCTGCAACTTATCACTGGAAAACACCCATATAGGGTTTATTTAATTTACCTATACCACATCTTTGGACTGTAGGGGTAATCGGAGCACCCGGAGGATACCCACGTGAACACTGTGAGAAGATGCAAACTCACAGAAATGCCAACTGACCCAGCTGAGGCTCAAACCAGCGACCTTCTTACTGTGAGGTGACAACGCTACCCACTGTGAAATTGCCTATGAGAATGAGGATGTTAAATCCAGTTTTAAATGTCAGAAGTGACACACTGAAACACAACTGTTTTTTTTTTTTTTGTTTTTAAATGTAAACATTTGTCACTTTTATATGATTTCATTGTAAATAAACAACTGGATTAATTAAGGTTTGTTAGTACTGATGACTATGCAGGCAGTTTGGACAAATTTTGTATGGACAGATATTTTGTTTGGTTTTGGCAAGTCACATTTAAAAGAATTAGGATACAAGATCAGATGAAAAGCAATGCAATCTATATATCAGAAATGCCTATGGATATGGACCAAAGAGGAAGTCATGCAAATACAGATATTTGATAAACCAAATACTACAATCACACATCTGATGAGAAACTTTATGGAAACAATAACAATTACATATTATTATTATTTTTTACTGCAAGCAAACTTTAACTTATGCAAGCCAGTATAAGGTGGGAGTCAATTGGGGCTCCCAAAAACAAGAAAAAAGGTCTGTCCACCCCAAAGTATCAAAGAACAATGCCTAAGACTGACATATCCAATGGCACAATAAATCAGTTCCTTCTGGCACAGGTTATACCAAATAATCTTTTTAACACATAAAGAGCCCAGGCATTTCTAAATGACTAATCTATGTGCATTTCATCTGTACTTCCCTGAGAGAGCAGTGCGATGGCAGCATTGTTGTCAGTAAAGATAATAATTTTAAAGACTATGTACAGAACAAAAACTGAAGCAACTAAAGATTCAGTACAAAAATTAATAAAGGTTGCTGGGAGAATAGGTGGGCTGATAAGGAGATAAATGTTCCTACAGTGGGTTAAGGTGGGAAAGCGCTGCAAACTGATTGATTAACGAGGGAGAAAAAAAATTCTGGAGGGAAATTATTTGTTTTCTGGGTGTTCAGGAACACCAGCAGCTGTGAGAGTAGCTCGATAATGCTGCAGAACTACACACATGCTCTTTACAAAACCTTTGGAAAGAGGGAAGAGGGGGAATCCAATATCAGGATAACCACTCCGCTCTGGAAGGAAACTACGATAACTCTTTCTCCTTTTCTTTGGTCTCACAGCTGGTTGAGACTCCTGACATGATTTTACACTTTGTTGAGATCCCAAAAAATTTGACATTACTTCAGGAACTTCTGGTATTTCTGATCCTGCACCACCCACCAATGAACTATCACACTCAGAGTTCTGGCTCAAATCTTTTTCAGTTAAACCAGTAGGTCCACTGGTTGCCATTGTAGAGAGACTGAGTCCCGAATCCTCAAAATCTTCTTCGACTTGTATGTCCTGCTTGCTAGAACTGCAGTGGTAAAGAACTGAGGGGATCTCTTCTAGAGGTTCTGCATAGAGGCTTCCAACACCACATCGTGGAGCATGATCTGTGATTGCCCCATCTAACTCTAGCCAGGACTCCAGCCGATGGACCAGCCGCCAACCACTGCAGGCAAAGTGTTCATAGACTTCCTGCTGAAAGACCTCTACAGGCTGCTGAAGAAGCTGAGTCATTGACTGTACCAGCTTAATGAGTGCCATCTCGTTGTAACAGCGACTATTTTCATAACCTTCCTGAAGTCCCCGGTCACTGTCAAAGCCAGCCTCATTGTAATATGGCTCATTGACCAGAATCAGACCTAAAGGTGTAGAAACAATAACAGAACCATAAAAACAAGATCCACTGTGCAGCACTACAATAAATTAATACAATCAACAACATAACTGGAGTGCACTTTTTTTACCTTGTATAGAGATAAGCACTTGAAGTAAACTTGATTTGCTTGTCCATCTTTCAGTACCCTGTAAAAAGATACAAAATCATATATTAAGACTTACCATTATTCAAACAACACAATGGAGAACATCAAGCAACATTCTATTTTAGGACAAAAGTAAAGCAACAACTAAATGGGGTTTGGGTTGGGTATTGTTTGGGGTATTTCAATACCGGTGCTAAATAGATACTTTTGAAAAGGTGCCAAAAGGGTGCCTAAACTGATACTTTTGAGTCATAAAATTATGGTGGATAACTCTGGTAAAATATACATTATATACATTTTTATATATATATTTTTGTTTACCATTTTAATTGAACAGAGTAATTAAAGGGTAAAGTATTTATATTTTGTATATTTGAATTGCATTAATATATTTCTTCTGATCATTTGCTTGTTAACATGAATGCAATATTTGCATTATGTAATTAACATTACATTAGCTTACTACTAACCTGTGGAAAGGCTATCATCAAATTCAGTGAATTTTTTTTTTTTTTAGGGTTAGGGCTTGAATTTATGCGTTTACATGCATACTACACTAATAATCTGATTTTAATATGATTTTAATTTAAGAGTCCTCCATGAGTCCTCCAGTGAATTTTGGTTACCCTTATCAGACTAAAGTTCAAATCTAACTAAACAGAAATGGAATTAAGACGTGGAGTATTCCTATTTTAGTGGCATTATTGAGGTGCTGTAGAGACATGTAAACACCTTAATCAAATTGGTACCATCATGAAGGACTTTGTCACATCTGGCATCAGTATATTCAATACACACATGGCTTTTGATACTCTCTAAACCTATCGAGTCAGTAAAGGACTAAAGAGACCTGCATCACAAAATGCGGAGGTTTTTTATTTATATTCAGCATGCAGTATCAAATTCCATTAAAACAACATGATATACCCCTTGAGGCTTATTCGTCCTTTTCCGCAGCACCAGTGCCACTGAAATTAGGCATCGAAATTCATATGCTAATGCAGTCCAATGCATATCGGTTACATTTTGGTACCCAACCCTAAATGGGGTAGTGAAAATTCAGGAATATGTCAGTCAGAAGTTAGATAAGACAGCAGGTTATCTCACCTTTCCAATCCAGGTGCCAAGAAGGCTGACACAAACCTTTCCATTATCATAAAGGTTAGGATTAAGCCGCCCGCTACACTGAGACAAATAACGGAAAAGAGGAGGAACAGCAGGATAGATATTAGGAAGCTGGATATCAAAGAGAAAGAGTCCATCCTCGTAGGGAGTGCGGTGAGGGCCCTTAATGAGAGCTGAAAAAAGGTCCTAAAAACAGAAAAGCATAATTAAAAATGACTAATCATATCCCTTATTTTAAGGGACATTTTAGAATAATTTTAATAATGTACTAGGAATAGTCTATTTCAAATTAGGTTGTGTGCATGTCACATTCACCATTCTGTCCTCAAAGGTTTTCACCATGATACCATCAGGCAGAGAGGTGGCCAGCAAGGCCATTTCTTTCCTTACAGTGCTAAAGAACTTCTTTGCCTCTGCTGGCTGAAATTCCATTTTTTTAAATGAGTGGGTGTCTATATAAAAAGAGAAAAGTTTTTTTTTTTTAAATTAGAGAATAAAACTATAGAATAAAGAATGTATAGAAAAAAAGGAGTTGCAGTGCTGACTTTCAATGTTACATTTAAGCAAATAACACAAGCAAGTCAGTAATTCCAAGTTGCTTTGTCATGCTTATTTAAAAAAGCAAAACTTACAACAACAAAAAAGTCTGTACCTGGTACCCATTCCAAAACAGAAAACACTTCCCCTTTAGCACTGGTAAAGGTGACACCTGGTTTGCCTCCACTCTGCTGGCACAAAACTGGAGTGTCACTAGGCCATTCAGAACGCACAGGTGTCTGTGGTTCAGTTAACACTGGAGTGATAATCCTTTCCTCTTCTACGGGAGCCTCCATTTTATCTTCTTCAACAATGGCAACATTGTCTAGAGTCTTTTTCAAATTCTCCTGAAGTTTCTTAATGTCATCCAGAAAGCGTTTTTCCTTTGTGGGTTTGATATCAGCAGAAGCTGTGGCAGCAGTTGCAGCTGATGGTTCTGCTGTGGGAGAGGTTGGTGATCCAGTCCAGAGCTGCTCAACAGTCATGTTCTTTAAACTTTCCAAAATCTTTAGGGCTTCTTTAAGCTCACGAAATCCCCTTGGTGGAGCTTCCTTAGTGGGCTTTTCCTCAGGTGTAGCAACACCACCTTAAAATAATTAATATTAATTGTTACAAAGTGTGCACTTTTCACCCAAACCAATAAGCAAGGCATATCTGCAGAAGTTCACAAAATTCTTTGTAGGACCTTGCTCACAGTATCCTGTTTATTTATGAACAGTAGGAAGCAAGATATAATACTTCTACATGAATATACATAAATAAAGCACTGTTTTAGGGTGCTTTCACACCTGCAGATCAATTCTTTTGTTCTGAAACTGGACTCAAATTGTTACAATGTTGCACTTTGCTCTTGGTGCATTTTATTTCACAAAGCAACATTTCTAAATGGAACAAAATAACTGAAACAGGTCACATGGAAATAAACTCTCCTCACATTGGTCAGAGTTTCAAGGTTTACTCTGCAGAGTCCCATTCACCTGTCATGTGTCCTTATTTTAATTTATGGCAATGAGCAAAAAGATATTATAAGTGAAAATGTGCGCTTTAATTTTGAATGGTGACACCCAGAGACATAGTCACCAAATATAAATCAGACTTCTCATACATAGATGATGGCTAGAATTATGCATAGGCTTTACATGATAGAGATCACTGTCTGATGAAGATCCATGTGACTCGAAATGTTACACGCTTTGTGTCAGCTTTTTAATTTAATAAATTTGTATTTTTGGAGCTTTAGTGTTGCCGCCTTTGCCGTTTTTTGGCTGAGCACCCAGTTTAGAGGGATGTGCGTGCTTTTGTACAGTTTTTCATTTTAGAGAAATAACAGATCAACCAAGACTGCAGTTCAGTAAATAAACAGCTGTTGTTAATAGTTCAGTATGGTTTTAATATCGCATTTGACAAGAAACGCACATTTACCGGTAGGAATGACATACCACCCCTACTCATAATTCTCTCTTCACTGTGATATAGCCTGGTTTGTTAGTTCGTTGGATGGTTTTGCCTTCTCCCTACAATTGATCCACTCCAGAGTTAATTTCAATAAACATGAGACCACCTCATTCTTACAATCTTGGCGTGGATCTATATATATATATATATATATATATATATATATATATATATATATATATATATATATATATGCATGTGTATGCATAGAGAGAGAGAGAGAGAGATAAAAAAAGGAATGTATTTTTATTACTTTTGTGTCTTTACTTTTTATTAGAAAAAAAAATTAGACTAACGACAGATCTTTTGTCTTTGTATGATCACATATATTGACCAAGCATACTTCTGTCTTACTGTGATTCTTTTTGCTGTTGTATATATGCTGGAGTCAGGTAAATGTGTGTGTGTGATCTTGCAAAGACAATGTCAGACACCGTAATATGCTCTGGTCCCTTGTCCGCTTATGGTGTTGACGAGTTATACAGCCAACTCTTATCACTAAATGGCTGGATGTCAAAGTGGAGCCAACTGAATAACATAAGTTTTGTAGACAATTGGCCAAGCTTCTGGGGTAGACCTGACCTGTTGAAGAGAGATGGTCTTAATCCCACCGGGGCTGGGGCAACTCTCCTCTCTAGTAATCTGGCATATAGTTTTAGTGTTGGCTCTTGATTAACTGGGGCCCAGGTTAGGGAGTGGACAGATTCGCTTATTCAGCCTAGCATCCACAGTTTATCTAACTCAGATAATCCACAGCACATAGAGCCACTTAGATATAAGAACATAGAGACTGCGTCTGTTCTTTGAACCTCTAAATAAAAAATAAAAAAAAACTTCCAAACCCATTCAAAGGAAACAATCTATTTGATGTTCATCAAATAGAAAATAAAGGTAATCAAAAGATAAAACTTGAATTATTGAACATCACTCACCTATAAAACTCTTTTTTTTAATCATTTCATAACTCATCTAAAGCTAGATGCACTTTATCTAACAGAAACCTGGCTAAAACCTAACGATTTCATGACCCTAAATGAGTCTTCACCTGAATGATATAATTAAAAACACGAGCTGTGTCTTAAAGGCAAAGATGTTGGCATAATATACAGTAATATTTTTAGTGTTACTTAGCAACCTGACTTAAAATATAATTCATTTGAAGTAATAGTGTTGTATATTTCAGTGTGCAATTTAAACAAATTTTAATCTAAATTTAAATTGTCAACTCTATATATGCCTCCAGGGCACCATACCGACTTTACAAAAGAATTAGCTGATTTCTTATCAGAAATATTTCTGGCCACAGATACATTTTTAAATGCTGGTGATTTTAATATTCATACAGAAAATGAAAAAGATGCTTTAAGTCTGGCCTTCTTAAGGCTGGCTCACACTACAATTTTTTTATAATCCTAAACAATTGTAGCATGTCAGACTGCACGAACATGGCATTCATGTCACATTGTAAGATTTCAGCTGTCATTATGTCAGACTGAATGACAATGAAGATGCAACAAACATGGAAGAAAACTCCCCTGGAGTTTGACGTCATCCCTCACAGCAAACATAAACAATCTGTAGTAGCAATTTTGCACACAGCATGTCTCAATAATGAAACCAGGAAGAAAAAAAAACAGTTTTGACATTTCACCGCTTGTTATTTGATCAGTCACTTAGTGACTGTCTGTGAACATATCAAACCAACAATCAAAAATCACAGATTTTAGCACAGAATTTTAGGAATCTTTGAGGATTTCCCAAATTTGTCTCAGATGACTAATCCGTGGCTGAAATCCCAATGTAAGCAGGGTTTAAGACATCCTAGACTCTGTTGGAGTGGAACAGCATGTCCCAGGGCCTAGTCATCAGCATAATCATACCTTAGACCTAATATTATCACATGGTATTGGTATTGATAATGTTGAAGTTGTGCAGCAGTGATGATATTTCAGATCACAATGTATTCTCTTGTTTATTGCGCATTGATAGGTCTACAAAATCATCTCCTAATTACAAATATGGTAGAACAATCACCACTAGCACTAAAGATGGCTTTGTCAGTAACAAACCTGATCTAATTTCCACAGCATTCCAGGCAGCCTAGAAGACCTTGACACTGCAACTAAAATTATTGATTCTTCTTTCTAGCACATTGGACTTAGTTGCTCCGTTAAACTTAAAAAATGTAAGGGGAAAAAATCACTTTTTAATACCACAGCCTTAATCCAAAATGAATTAATTTAATTCCTCAAAATTCTATAAAATGAATAATGTGAATTTTTATTTTATTTGCAAATTTACTTAAAATACAAAAGCTGAAAAATCACATGTACATAAGTATTCACAGCCTTTGCTGTGAAGCTCTAAATTGAGCTCATGTACATTCTGTTTCTCTTATCATTTGAGAGATGTTTCAACAGATGAATTGGAGTTTACCTGTGGTAAATTTAGTTGATTGGACACTTTCTATATAAGGTCGCAGGGTTGACAGTGCATGTCAACAAAGGAATTGTCTGTAGACCTCCGAGACATGATTGTCTTGAGGCACAGAGCTAGGGAAGGTCACAGAAAAATGTATACTGCTCTGAAAGTTCAAATGAGCACAGTGGCCTCCAACATCCATAAGTGGAAGATGTTTGGAACCACCAGGACTCTTCCTAGAGCTGGCCGGCCATCTAAGCTGAGTGATCGGTGGAGAAGGGCCTTAGTCAGGGTTGTGAACTCTGTCTGAGCTCCAGCGTTTTTCTGTTGAGAGAGAGGAGAACCTTACAGAAGAACAACCATCTGTGCAGCAATCCACCAATCAAGCCTATATAGTAGAGTGGCCAGATGGAAGCCACTCCCCACATGGATGCCAAAATGCATCTGAAGGACTCTCAGACCATAAGAAACAAAATTCTCTGGTCTGATGAGACTAAATTTGAACTCTTTGAAGTGAATGCCAGGTGTTACATTTGAAGAAAACCAGGCACTGCTCATCACCAAGTTAATACCATTCCTACAGTGAAGCATGGTGGTGGCAGCATCATGCTTCATTAATCCTCTTATTAAAAAAGTACAGCTTTATCCCAAAGAATTAGTACATTTTAGACCCATTTCAAACCTGCCTTTTCTATCAAAGATACTGAAAAAGTCATATCTGGTTAACTATGTTCCTTCCTACAAACAATCGGTAGATCTTTCTCATAACTGGCCCCAACTCTGGGACAGCCTTCCTAGGGACTTGTCAGGGACTTGTAGAGCTGCACATTGATCAATTTGCTTTTCAGTGTTTTGACTTTCAGCAATGAAAATTAAACCACAGTAAACTGAACTAAACTTAAATCCATAAAAACTGGACTTACACCGTTTCAAGACACATTACATATATATAATAGACTAATTCTGGATTCAACAAATAACACCCTTAAGCCTTTAACTGCCTGCTCTACCAAATGGTTGACCATATTTTAACTGTTTTAAATAATGAATGTTAAAAGTCATTTAACGAACAACTGTTTTAAATAACCATTTACACTAGTGTTGGTTAAAAAAAAAAAAAAAAAAAAATATCCTGTTGCATTACAGTTGATTTTAGTTTTATTGCAAAAACAAAAAAACATGTTAAACATAAATCTAATATTTAATAGCACACTTCAAAAAATAAAGATGATATAGTATTCAAAAATGTTTTATTTTGATTGATTGATTGATTCATTCATTTCTTTTCGGCTAAGTCCCTTATTTAATCTGGGGTCACCACAGCGGAATAAAATGCCAACTTTTCCAGCACATGTTTTACACAGCTGATGCCCCTCCAGCTGCAACCCATCTCTGGGAAACATCCACACACACTCATACACTACGGACAATTTAGCCTACCCAATTCACCTGTGCTGCATGTCTTTGGACTGTGGGGGAAACCGGAGCACCTGGAGGAAACCCACAAGGACAACATGCAAACTCCACACAGAAACGCCAACTGACCCAGCCGAAACTTGAAACAGTGACCTTCATGCTTCTTGCTACCTACTGCGCCACAACGTTTTATTATGATGTTTTTAAATAAATTGGACTTTTTCCTATATATGTAATAAGTCCGGTACTTTTACCATAAAAAGAAATATCTACCAGTTGGTAAAGGTTGAAATTTTAGAAATTATAGGATGTGTTGACAAAAATGCAGAGTGTGGTAACTAGTGACATAAGGAGTCAAGTGAAAATTCAATTATTTTTTTTCTTGGTGGAGCGCTTAAAGGGTTAATTTTAAGTCAAAATGGGAAACTGAACTCAACAAAACAATTGAGAATGAGATTTGGAAAATCATATGCTTAGAATCACATAAAGGGATCAATTACCATAACTAGAAAGGAAAAGACTGGAAAACAAACATTTGTTTTTTTTAGAACACCATTGATGGTGTAAAAATATGTTAAAAGTCCACAGCTAGAGGGGTTGCGGGAATGTAGGTAATCAAATACATATATTTTGGGAATGTCAGAAGATACTTGCATTTTGGCAAGAGATTAATATTGAGATAATGAAAATTACGCATTTAGACCTACCTTTTACTCCCTAGTTTTTCTTGATTGAAGGGATACCCCAGGATGTATATGATAAAAACCAAATAAAATATTCTACATATACATTTACTAAGTGCAAGAATGACTTTCAAACTGAATGAAAACTAAAAATTCCCAACTTCCTGTTTGGTTTCAGATTTTGCCATTTTGCAAGTATTGACATGCTTTATATGTGTGCCAAGTTTTGTATGTGTTAAACGTAGCTCAAGGATTACTTCACTAAAAGTGTATAGGTGGCGCTGTCGAGATATTTTGTCACATCCAGGGTCCTATCATACACCCAGTTTAATAAGGTGCGAGATGTGTTTTGTATCACCATATGGGACATAAGAATAGGACATGTGTTTGGATATAACTCTGTTTACCACACTTCCTTATTATTGTTCATTTATTAGTTCGCTCTAACCACTTGTTTTAAAACAAACAAAATTAAATATGTAGACTAATGGATGTCTTCAGTGGAGTGCAAACAACACTGTTTCCTTATCCACAGAAGTAAAGGAGTAAAGTGTAAAAGTAAAGAGAAAGTAAAGAGGCTGAATGGAGGAGGCTCATTTTTTTTCCTTGCACAAATGGTCTGTTTACCTGATTTCTCGACAGTATAGCCTTCAGTTTTAGACCATGTGCGCCACTTACAAAGTCTGCCATGTAAATAGCAAATGTGCCATAGCACGACGCAACTTACCCTTAAAGGGAATTTAAGAGCTCAAAACACACCCAAAACTCATTAAAAGAATGAGCACAACCCTGTTAGACCATGCGCCAGAGCACAGAACATATTTTTCTGTCTTTTAAATAACAAAAGTGGATTCGGACATGCCCTTAATGCTAACAAACCCATTGGAGCAAGTGTTTACAAGTGAATGAGAAGGAGCTCAAGATGAGAACTTGGATCTGTGTGTACCATATGATTAAAGTTGTTGCACCTCCGCTGGCTCCTGCCTCAGATTGAGCGAGTTTTAGCTACTTGTATTAGGGTTGTGCCGATAGACGATTCCATCGTCCATTGCTGATGGCCGACAAACTTCACGATGCTGAGCTGGCATCGAGATCCATCTCCCCACCCCACATTTATATTGATATATAACTTATCATTCGCATGTCATCTTAATAGCAATAACTGTCTTTTCATGAGCTGTGTTACATATGTTACAACATACAGATGTTACAAATAGCTGCCTCTTGCACGGCTAACAGCATCATGAGGATTTAATGAAGGATTATACAGTACCTCTCACGTTTAAAATTCACGCTGTTATCTGCAAACCCCATCCCACAGACTTTACAGTCAATGGCTTTAGTCATTTTCATAGCGGACTTGAAGCCACTGGAAGTCTTATCCACTCTTGGAAAAGTGTAAATGGTAGATTAACATTTAGCACATGATCACTAATAAGATGTGCCATTATTAGTAACTGTGGGTAAACCTGTCAGTGTTATTTTCATTCTCTCATCTTCAGCGCTTCACATTTTCACGGTTGTAGCTCCTGTCATGTGAAGGCAGAAGGCATTGACTGAGTGATTGACAGCTGATATTAATCAATCAATTGCGTAACACCTTGCGCCGGGTGCATGATAGGGCCCATAGACTGATTTCACGCGGCCGCCATTTTCAAAAGCGAAATCGAGGCTGCGGTGGTAAGAAACCCGGAAGTATCATTGGGAGTTAAATAGGAATGTTGTGTAACTGGCTATATAGCTTATCAGCGAAGAGAAAGTGACACAATTTTATAATTTCTCCACCTTCCGGGTGACCCGGAGGTCCGTTCTGAATGAATGGTGAATATAATAAGGGATATCAGAGCTCATTTTCAGCTAAGTTAAAGGAAATGGCACTAGTTAGCTAATGTTTTCTTTCCCAAACACACGTTTTAGATGCTATTTATCAAACTCGAGTTAATAAACTGATTCTTTCGGGGGCGCCACTGAGCGATGACGGAGTAAGACGTGTGTTTAAGAGCTCCCTTAGCCAAATCCGCTAAAAAATACTTACAAGGACCAATAATTTTGTAATTTCTATCTTTTCAGAACGCATTTACTTTTAAAACAATTAGACTTCAAGTTTGACTGGATATCTCAACATGAGCAAACAAAAACCTAAGAAACTGAAATCGACGCAACTAGGCCTCGACCAACCACCGACCTTGCCTGACACACAGCCCAACGAGTCCAGCGGTGATGAGGAGGATCCTCCTAACCGAGCTCTATTAGCTGCCATCACAGCACTCAGAGGTGAAATGACTAAGATAAAAGATGACATCTGTGAGAAATTGGAAAGACGCATTGAGCGGGTGTCTAAAGATCTGAGAGCGGAGATTGTTACGATTAACAACATCACTCAAGAGTCTATTACTAATCTTGAAACAAAATCTCAAACGCTACAGGCTAAAGTCACTGACATAGAAGAAGCC